TTTGATTTTCCGTTGAATTCTCCGGGAAAATTTTTTTGATAACTTCACGCCGTTTCTCAGGATGTGGTTCGTCCTCAAATTCCTCAGCTGCACGAAGTGCCTGTTCGAGATTATACAGTTTGTTGCTGTCTTCTCTTCTGCCACTTTCTTTCATCCGCTCGAACTCTTCCTTCAAACCCAGCTCGCTGAACTGTTCCCCATAAGTTTCCAGCTAAATATGCACCAAGCAATACTTTCAAGTTAAGAAAGAATGCAAAAGTGGTAAGTTTTCACAAAAATAATGGGGCGCAAAAAGACACCACTTTTAGTGCATCACCGAGCTAAAGGTGTCGAAAACGGCAATAGGCTTACGAACGAAAATCATGAAAACAGGGCCTCTTTAACACGCATTTTTAATTCATAACTTGGTGTTCCATTTCTTCCATCCAGTGGTAATACAGAAAATTTTAGAAGGCGATTTTTCTTCAAGTTTTTGCCTATCAAAAAATTAGAAGGTCAAAATTTTGCTTCGCTCACTTCGTGTGAAAGGCGGAGGCATTTCGAATGTTGCTTAGTAGTAGCAAATGCCAACAGTAATCAACATCTGACAGGGTGTCGACGTCTCTCTATTCAGAAGGTTGTTTGGAAGCAAGATGATGACTGACTTTTCACGTAAAAAAAATAATTCCGAAATTTTCAGAAGTCAAATTTTCGCCGCAATATTGTAAGAATTTGAAATCGTGCAACTTAATCTCGAAAACACTATGAAAAACTTCTGGACAAGTTTTGATGGAGCCGCATTTGGATATAACTGGCATATTCGAGCAACAAGGTTTGCCCAGGAAATTCCACCAAGAAAGCCGACAATATTCGAATAAAAGCCATGGTCTGGAAATGCAAATATCATACAAAAAACAAATATCATTTTTTTTGAAAACATATAAGAAAGAGATTTGAATTGCACAAAGTCCATAACTTTATTATCCACCCAAACGGAACTAAAAAAACAGCTGAAAAACTGAATTTATTCGGTTTTTCAGCTGTTTTTATGCGCGTTTTGCTGTGTAACCGCAGTACAAAACGCATATTGTCATGGGGTTGTCTGTGTGTGCGTTTCTGTGCGTGTGTGTCCGCAGCAACTTGTCCACAACTTTCAACTCGGGAACTGCAAAAGCTTGGAGGCTGAAAATTAAGGGGAACGTTCCCCACCCATGTGTGATCCCGCAAATTTAAATTCAGCTTCCCCGTACCCGCGGGTAACAAGTGTGGCCCCGTGAAATTTCTTTTACGAGTAAATTAATACCTCGGGACCCACTGCCCACGCTCAACCTTGCCTTATCAAATTCAGCGTTCTTGCTCTCTTGAGTATCATCTGCGGCCTCGTGAAAGTTTTGATGGGTGCGTGAAATTTTTAACTGTTTTTCAATGTTTGAACTATTTTTCCATAGGCTAAAGTACAAAGCAGTGAAAATCATCAATAGGCAGTAGTTCGATGGGCTGAATTGCACAAAACGCATGACCGCACCTGCTAGTCTGGAGCGCGTTGATATCTATTTTAGTTCTGTTTGGGCGAAAAATTAAGATTCATTCTTGTGCATGCTAAAAATGCCCAGCGCCGCAGCTGAAACGAAACAAGCGGCTAAAATAGGGAAGAACATGCTCAAAATTTCAGCCTTCCAGTCTTCTTGTTGCTGAGATAAAAGTGGGTGGAAAAATGCGCTCGCTTCTGTACACACACACACGCACACACACACACACACACACACACACACACACAGCCTCTCGACAGTATGGGTTTTTACTGGCGCTTCACAGCAAAAATGCATAAATGTATGCATGAATTTATGCAAAAATACATAAATCCATG